CGTAACTTGCGCCATGTATAGCGCATGTATATACGTGTGTATTTGTGTGTACAACGTATTATAGGACTTTGAGAAGTTGCGGGCCAGCAAAAGAGAAGGGCATCGTCCGACAACACCAAGTCCGAAGCTTTGAAATCAAATAGTTGCTAATTAAGCGTCGACTGCGCCCCGAGCTAGCTCGAGACCAGCAGCTACCTGCTGCAGCCGCATGATTTTTCGGCTGGAAAAATTCACTCGAGCGCCCATTTCTGCATTTTCGTCGTTGCTGATTGCGCTTACTATAAATATAATGGCCTTTCGGTTGCGTGAAAGTTTTTGTTGGCGGCAGCACACATAAGCACACAAAGTACAAAAGATAATTCCGTCATTTCGCTTGTTTACGGCGCGTAAGCGAGTACATGCGCCAGAGCATAGTTAGCTGCGCTTTTATTTCACAAAATTAAGTACGGGCTTTGGCCGATGGATGTAAAATGGCGCGTAGAACGAGCGTACGTTTGCGTTTACACTCGCGGATCGTCAAAAGCAACGAAATCCGGTTTTTCGCATTTCCCGAACACGCGTACCGCGCGAAAGTTGACTTTTGCGGAATTACCGCCTGTGTACGGGCGGCTGAAAAATTAATAACATTGTCAACAAAAGGCCGGGGGATTTCTCATAATGTCGGCGCAGGTGCATAATCAAACATTCGTTATTAATAACCGCGACGAGGATCGAGAGAAAGAGCCACGCCTGAACCGTAGTTGGCATTTTCAAGCACACACACGCTCGGCTTATCGAGGCAAAAACAAAATTTATCGCTCGCGCACGATACTTTGGCCTGCGGCTCCAACGAGAAAAAATAACAGGTAAGTACGGGCAATTGCGCGTTACTTTTCTCTTTATTCGGTTGAATGTGCAATGTGCATATACATATACGTATATGTAGCGTCGCACTCGGAACCAAAGTTAAAAGGAAGAGGCAAAAAAGGGGGACGGCAAGAAAGAAGGAATAAACGTTACGCGCTGCATAATTCAAGGCGTGTGCGCTTTCGTTGCGTGGGAGAGCCGGGCGTATAAGGGGTAAAGTAATCTAATTACCTCGTGCGCGCGCGGTAAAAGCTCGTTCGCTCTCTTCTCTCGCTTCTCTTTCTCTCTCTCTCTTTCTCTTTCTCTGTTGGCGCGGCGCGGCCTGTACAAGGAACCACAATTAATGAAACGACAAAAAGCCGAGTCATAAATCTGAGAAAATTCAAATTTTCTGTAGCTCCGCTAAAAGCCGCCGCCGCCACGGCTCTTGCCTTATGCCGTTTGGTACTATAGTCCCTTCGCACGTACCTATATGCAGGATGTGTATGGTGGCTACGTACACAATACCACCAAAATTAAAAACGTCCCGGTCATAACTCGCGCGCGGATGTCGTCGAGCAACACTTGATTAAAAAAATACACGCCAAGGGCAAATCTCATCGCCGGCACTGCAGCGGCTCTTTTAGCCGTTTGTATGTACAGCACGCGTATACGTATGGTACGGCGCCGGATGGAAACAGAGGCAAAGCTCATAAATCCCAATCTGGGCGTATTAATATTGTAATATAATAATATACACGAACAGCAGGCGTAATGTATGATAGCACGTGGAGCAGCTGTGATACCTACAAAAGCAGGCGGCTTATTGTACGGCGACGGGGTATACAGCTCGGAGTACGAAATGAAAAAACAACAGCTTTTGCTATACGTTTCCTCGTTCGGTCGGGAAAACGTATTTTCGGAGTCGGCCTCCAGTCCAGGCGCAATTCGCGCGAGGCGAGTCGTAGATTTGTGCATAGGCGTGAATGCATGTATGTACAACGCAGGAGCGAGCGCAGAATTATAGCAGTGATAAGTCGAGTCTCCCCCCCNCGCAGCCTGGATGAGTGAGCGGCGGCCCATTATTCGGCCGCACCGCTCTCGTGTGTTTACGCGTGTACGTGCGTAAGCCGCAGTGCGTTCACATTTCAGTGCTTTATTAGGAATAAATTCGCTCGCTCTCGTGGCCCGGCTAGGCAGCAACAGCAGCAGCCGCTTCGACTTTAATCGCGATTATTTGCCTGGGCTTTCGTCGCGCGCGAGCATACATCCGATCCGATTTATCGATCCCGATACTTACGGCTGCTCGGTGAGGGAGGATGATGCGTGCGCAACGCGTCGAATTCGAGTGATCTCGAGTGCAGTGCAGCCAGGACTTTAATACCACTCGACGAGCTCGCGCGTCATCATATAAATAGGCGGCTTCCAGCACCTCGGTGCGCGGCGGCCAAGAGGCTTAGGTGTGTACGCTGCAGCAACGCTGGACTGTCCCTAATTTCCAATGCGGTGCGATTAGGGAGAGGGCCGTTCACCGGTGCATAAACACACACACTACACTACGGAGTTTTCGTACAAGTAGCGATTACAAACGAGAATTACGTGTGCATTTGCATCAGTCAAAACACGGCAGCCGCAGCTACCTCATACGTACGTGGGGTATTTGCAAGTATTTCGCCATAAATAATCGATCGGTTTTGCCCTTGTTGCTCGTAAGCTCGATTTTACCATAATAACTGCCCTAAAGTACGCCGAGCTCGGTGTGAGTTATACATGCGCGCTGCTGCACCAGCCCACGGTTACGAGCGCCGCAGAAAGTTACAACGATTTTCCGTGCGTGCTAGATCCCTTTATTTTTTTATTTTTTACTTCCCTTTTTTTTGTTCATTTTTTTTACGAACGTATTTTATAGCTCGAAAATCGCGTATAAATAGTTTTCGTGGGCGAATATAAGTCGTGGTAAAAAACGAGCCTGCAGCTCGCGAGATTACAGTGCGGGGGGAGAAAAAAAGGAGCGAGCGAGAGAAGGAAAAATCATCGGGAAAACTCGGCTAACAACAAGTGTGCTCTTGACGCGGCCGCGCACACACGCTAGGAACACTACTGGCAGAAAGATACGACTCGGTGCAGCGGACAATATTAACGAACGTCGCGGATATGTATAATATACACTGTGTACTTATACGCATACACGTGCAAAAGTCTTAAATCACTGGCATATTTTTAGAAAGTTTCGCTTAAACGCCTCTGATATATATTCCGCGCGTGGACACACACATATATACTCGCAGCAAAGTTGAGTGGGGAAAAAGGCGAATAAAAAGCCCGCTTAATTACCATAATCTTTATTAGCATGCCGATTCGCGACGTTCTTATCGTGCATTAAACTTTTCTAGTTTATTGTAATTAACTGCGGTAGAGTAGCGCGGGGGCACACACAAGCGCTATATGCATATGTATGCAGCAGCACTATAGGTATCTCTGGTGCATTCGGACTTTTCTTGCGGTCGGGCGCTATAGCGGCCAAATGGATTTCGCTATCGAGCCGCACACATGCGCTGCAGCAGATCCCGCATAGGAAGCCGCTTGATGCTCGAAACTATAATCTGGGGACGATCGTAGCATCTATCCCATGTGTGTGTGTGTGTGTGTGTGTAGGGTTTGTGCGACTGTAGAAGCGAGTCAAACGACCGGATCACGAGAGGATAAAACTAGAAAATTAATTATGTCGTCTTTGTAATGGGCAACGGGAGCAGAAACTACGGCTGCATGAGTTTAACGACATGCATCCGCGTAAGCGACAGCGAAGTGTGTCTGTGTGCGCGACGTAAACCTACGTGCGTGCTGTGCAGGATACACGTGGGGAATGTTAATCTACATGCCTGCAAAGAGGTTCAGCCGAATGTGTTTCCATACGGGGCCTTGTGCACTGCAGCTGCTCGCAAACATGTACACACACACACACACACTAACACACAGAGATATTGACTATATAAGTTGAGCACACGTGAGACAGGATCTTTCGCTGAAATAACAGGGTTCGAGTATATAGCTTAAGCGGTCGCGCGCGCGTGGCGCCGTTTTCTGCCATATACTGCAGGCATATATAACAGGCACGAGGCATGAGGCAGCGACCTGCAAACCGGTCACTTTATTCTCACGATTATTCAGCGCCCTGTGTGCATTCGCTGCTACGTCCAAATATATTTATCCGCAGAAAGTATACATCGGCGAAGCAGCCGCCGAGAGCGAGTTGGTTACGAAAGAAAATCGCGCGCGCCGCCGAAGGTAATCCGGATTGGCAATTCGCTGCCGTATACTGTGCACATGAAAATGCTAATGAGATTATCAGTATGCGCGTATATCCTACTACACGTTGTACATAGATATGTGCACGCATGCAGTATCCCGCGCGCGCCAAACTGCAACCGTATTATTACACTTTCTAATATTTTAATGTCTCATTTCCTTCCCCTGTCTTTCTCTTTCTCCGCGCGCGTATATGCATTTTTCCGTGTATATTAGCGCTCTCGCATCTCGTTCGCGCCCGTGCGAGATGATCTTGATTTCATCGATACGACGCTTCATTTAATTAGGATGAAATATTTCGTCGATAAACATCGAATTCAGTCTCGATTGCTGCAGTTATTAATGTTTCAACAAAAATAAACATCTCCTCATTAATCGGTATACACTATAAGACGCGACAGTGTTGGCGCCTGTCTTATTTTTTGTTTGCCTCTTGGATGTACGGTACGTCACAACACATTATATACGTACGAGTGAAATTTCACTTTCATTAGCTCGACGCTGCTGCTGCTGCTGCTGCTGGGTCGCTCGCTGCTGTAAATATACTATATATACTCGGGCAGCGAGACTCGCGGTAGGATACTACGTATTATTGAGTCGCGCGCAGTCCGCGAAGAGTCCCGTTTCTTCACCTCTTTTCTCTCCTCGAAAGCATTTGGCCTCGATCCGTGTAGTGCCGCCGCGCCGATCGCCGCCGCCGCTGCTGCACGCGGAATACATCCTATACAGCTACTATAGGCGCGCGCGGAGCAGAAAAGAAAACAGTCGGAGTCGCGTTACGGTTTCGGACGCGCATACGATTATGTATAGACATTCAGGCAGGCACACATGCGTCACTGTTAAAGGCGTGTGTATATACGATAACTCACCCTGACAGTAGCTGACACAGTGAACGAGCGCCGAATTTCGACGACTGCTCCGATTAATCGAGTGCAAACTTGGAGTTTATTACAGAGTTCACTGGGCAAAACAACGTGTTCACAGGGTATACGATTCGGCGATATAGGCAGATCGAAGACGAAAAACAATCACAGTAACGCGCACAGCTGACGAATAAAAACTCGTCGATCGCGTATTATTTACGAAACGTGGAGCTCACGCGAGCTTCGATAACAAGCGAAACGGTAACGACGTGCTGTTTAGCGCACGAGCGACGGCAGTTGACTGGCTCTGGTATAATGTGGCGCGCAGCCGGCTAGTCGCTTCAGTGTTGTACGAGAGGAGCAGCGCGCGCGAAAGCTCGTGCCTGCCGCCCCACCTCCTCCACCTCCTCCTCTTCCTCCTCTTCCTCCTACAGCAGCAGCAGCAGCTCCTAGCACGCGCGCAATAGCAGCGGCTTCGTTTCGCGCGTCTGCGTGCAGTCTCTCTATATACGATATACATATATTCGCATGTGTGTACGTGACCCCCTTCTGCACACACTAGCGCAAAAACCACTCGTATATTACTCCTTGTATATCTACATGATATTGAGTGTGTGTGGCAGAAAACGTATATATACGTATATGTATGTATATACGTATACGGCTTCTCTTTGCAGCCGCGCGCAGTGCCGTGCCTTTGCCAACTCTCGCTGCATATACAGCGCATCTATTCGACCAATATTGCATACATTGTATATCTGTATATGTATGTGCTACCGTCACTTACTCACTCACACGGACGCGCCCTTCTTTCGACGACAGAGCAGCCTGCATATATACCTACCTCGTACCATAGGGGCGCAGCAGCACTACTGTATCGCTGCACTTTTTTTCCTCGGGTCAGACGACTCGAAATTCTTCCACCCGCCTCGCGTCCACTGATTTCGCGCAAATTAAATGTCACCTGTGTGCATCAGCGCGTTTTTACCCGTACCCAAAGTTTCTCCCGCTAGTCTATCCAGTACGGGGGGTGCTCGCAGGTACGCTCGAGGCTCATACACTTATAGTCTCACTCGTCGAGTGCCTCGACGCGTCGACGATAGGTAGAGGTTGGCTGCCAGTAATTAATCAAATTCTGCGAAATTCAGCACAAGCTCGACACGTTGCTTGAAAAAGAGACGAAAATTTTCTCTCCCGGCGATCGCTGCTCGGTCCCAAAGTTTCGACCAACTCAGCCGCAGCCGATCTTTTCAACTGACAGTCATTAATTCGGAGCCGTATACAGAAAAGCTAAGGCTTCGAGCTTTTCGCCAAGGACGAAAATTCAATGGGAATATAGAAGAAGGCGCGCGATGCAACGGCTCGCTCCCCCACTGGTAATTTGGCTCATTACCAGAGCCGTTGCTCGAGCCTGCCGGGGGCGGGGGGAGCGACTCTGATTCTAAATTTAATGTTACTAATTGCGCTAATGAGTATTTCGCGCGCCCACCGCTTGCTGCAACACACATCCCGACGTAATAACGTCGCAGTTATGTATATGGTCGATTCTCCGGTAAATCCAATGGTTCGACAACAACAACAAAAATGTGTCGACTAGCGCGAACGAGAATCTTTCTATGAATCATCGAAGATTTACCCATTGCATAATCGATCTATTATAATAAGCCACTTTTATTTTCAATAATATAATTTCGTTTCTTTCGAATCGACGAGCTTTCACCGCACTAATTTACGTAACTTTAGAGACACGCTAATTACCTTGGAATATTATTTCTTCGCATTGTTGGGAAAATTTCGGAATATCGTTCAAGCGTGTGCGAGTCCTTTGTGCTTAAAACGTGCAAAGTAATTATTTCATTGCATTTCAAGCGCATTTAAGCAACTACAATTATATTTTCAAGAGCGAGCTCTTTCAAATTATTTGTGACAATTGCGTGTGGATGGTTGACCTCGCTGGTTTTCCACAAATACCTCGGCTGTATACTAATTTGTGATTTATGGCTTTCTAAATTATTTTTGATGTCATTATGGCACTTTGTCCCGACAACTTTACTCACTGAATTATCCTTTAATTTATCAAGGTTTGTATCCAAACTCACAGCTTCGTTCTCGAAAATTATTGAAACGCCTGTTATATCCAAAAAATCGAGTCACGTCACTCTGTTTCTCGATCACGAGTTTTCCGATATAACGTTTCTGTAGACATAGTAATATAACAGTTACTGCAAGTTTGTAATCATTATTGATTGATATAATTTCTATATTTTCACCGCAATTATACTAGAGACTAGCGGTTAAGGGCTTAATCAAATTCCGATAGATTCAAATAACGGTTCTCAACTTTATTAATACGTGATTCAGTCAAGTTTATGACGCTATAACTAATGATCGAGCATCGATCGATGATAAATTCCCCATCCCTCCGTCTTCATTAGCGAGCTGCGACTGACCAAGTTTACGCAGGCATTATCTCGTAATACTTGACGACTCGCCTATGTATCGCGCACAAAGGCTCTGCAGAATATCATTTACAAACTCATGAACCACCACGGCAAGCAGTCGCAAGGTACTTTTTTTTCTTTTTTTGCATTATAGTATATTATAATGGCTCGGTGTAAACGAGCGTAAATTAACTGTATTTTCAGCAGCATCCATGCAGAATGGGCGAGGATAAATATAGTATATACCGGCAACGACGTAGGCGAAGCGTGTATATACCGAGCACAATGCGCAGCGCGTATAGCGCGATACTCCAAACATCAAAATCATTTCAATTAATCACTCGACGAGTATACTCCGCGCGATATACTCGCGATATAGGTAAAAGCATTGCAGACTGGCACGTGCAAAAAAAAAGAAGCCAAACTAGCGCGAAAAAATTTCGTGCAGCGCAAAACTCAAACGAGGTTTTTGACCTAATTTTCTGGCCCCCACGCTCGTTCTCGCTCTCTCGTTCGCGGTGTGGTGTATATGTGCGTAAACGCGAACGTTAGAGAGACTCGCGATTAAACCTGCGGTTATGTATGCGCCGCGGAGCAATGAGAGGCGAAAGAGGATCGTTATGAAAAACAGCAGCGCGCCCTTATAACGTATACCTATAGTGCATTTATATCCGCCTTTTTCGTCGTTAGGCTCACTGCCACGGTATATACAGCCACAGAACTCGACAAGGCGACGGCGCGTTTTTATATTTACGGCTTAATTATCGAGGCGTTTATAATGCTAAGCGTCGACAGAAGCGCCTCTCTATTAGTACGAAACCCAACAATCATAACCGGTGCAGTAGACTAGATGCCCGGATCTAGTGGTGTGTTTTTTCTCTCCTTTTTTTTTTCTTTTGCTTCTCGCATTCGTTGGCACTGAGGCGACTACTACTACTACTACTACTACTACTACTACTACTACTACTACTACTAGTAGTACTATATGAGCTGCGCTGTGCGCGCTGTTGACTTAACGAAGACTCGTTAAAGGAGATTGCGGAAATCTAAGTGCAATTTCTCTGATAACTGCCGATTGAATATGTATGAATTTGTAATGGTTTCTTTGTCGGAGGCGGTCGAGTCTTCGGGAGGCACACTCGCTTTTCATTGGATAAATTGCAGCTGCGGATCCACTGGAGGATCGAGCAAGCCCAAAATTGATGAATTAAACGCGACGAGAGAAAGAGAGAAGCGCGTCCCAAGCCGAGCTCGACTCGAACCCGGAGAAATTTACCGCGTTTGCGTACTACTGCGAGCCCGGCAGCAGCAGCAGCAGCCGGAGATTTAAATTAGAATACGCTTGGCGTACGGGTTAGCGCGCGCGCGACTCGATTCAGCGATCTACTCCGCTGCGCCGTGAAAATGGCAAACTCTACTCGTGTAACAAGGAGCTTTTAATGATTATTAGAAAAGTCTTTGGGAGTCGCGCAAGCAAAATGCCCCCCCGTAGCGACAAAGCGAGCCGATGACTTAATCCAATAGGATATCCTATATAGCTAATAGCTCGCGCACGCGCGCGCACACATACGTCAAAGAAATTGGAAAACCCGCGCTCGCTCACAGGTGAAATAGACTGCGGCACGAGCGCGCGCGCAAAACGTAATAGGCTCAGAATGTCTGTGCAGCACTGCACCAGGCACTGCATCGCACACGTGAGCGCGCGGGTAGTTGACAAATTTCTCTCTTGGCTCACTCTCCCGAGGCTCGGTAGTATAGGCTGACGTGCGGCCGTCAGGTCGTGTGCGCAAGTGAATGAAATGACGCACACACATCCCCACGCGATAATAATAAGTGAAGTAAGATTCACCGCCGCGCGCGGAATTCGTTTAAGCCTCGAGGCGGATATAATATCTGGCGTATATACGTATAACGTCGGTGTATAAACGGAACGCGCGCGCGAAACGGAGAGCCCGAGAGAGCTGCAACTTATATATTGCAGCGCGCGAGAGCAGCCAGATCGTCGACACACTCGACGCCCCAATGTTATTATCTCGCATTCTTCGGGCATTTAATATCGAAAATAATAATATCCCCAGCGCCGATGCGAGGCATGTCCGCGAATCCATAACTCGCTGCCTGCGTGCTGTGCCGCTGCTGCAGCTCTGTATACGAGCAAATTAAAAAACTTGGGGGGGGGAAAATGTAGTTTTGCTCGCGTCGCTGCAGCTGCTCTCTCGGCCGCTCTTTTTCCTCCTCGTTGCCGATAGTTTCGAATCTGTGTGTGAGCGCGGTATATACGCGTACGTACGTACGCGCAGATAGAATTACGCTTTCAACTGTTCATGTGCTCGTTCGTCCGTTGAATCGGTCCGGAGAATTGGAATACTACACGAGCCGATACGCCATCAACGGCAGAGAGAACGACGAAAGCCCGCAGCAGCAGAGAGAGAGAGACTTTTTCTATTTGAACGTGTATCGGTGCTTTTGCTGTGCGAGCGGCGGCTGCTGCTGCTGCGGAAGGAAAAAATGTATACGCCCGTCCGGGAACAGTTTAAAATTGACTCGATCGTGTAAGAGCTCGCAGCAGTCTACGATAGGATGAAAAGGATAAGCAACTTTTGATGAAGTCACTCCGCCGAAGAATATTCTCGACAAAATTGTCATTTTGAACAAATAAGTTGTTTTTCTTTACTTGGAAAATGGACGTATTATGGCTCTCTGGGAATTTCGTCGTACTTTTTACTCAGGTACTCGTCGTCGAAAATATCCCCAACTCTCTCCTCGGCCCGTAATTCAGGTTGAAAAACTTTTAAGATAAATTCATATTCGAGAGGCAGAGGTAAGGAAAACGTGCTC